TTTATACAGATGGCCAATATTGAGCCATACATTATAAAGCTCTGTACCACATCTGTCCAGATCACAGCTTTCAAACCACCCTTAACAAAAAAAATAAATAAAAATAAAAACTATGAGTGAAATCAAATCAGCCTCGCTATCAGCCATAAACTTACCACGCAAGTATAAAAGGTACATATAAGACACACTACCGGTGTTATGATGTGTATATCGATTCCAGATACTAAAATGGCAAACAAGTATAGTAGTCTAAATTATTCATTATCACGAATTCCAAGTAGTGGACTAATTAACCTCACCTTGATTAAATGTCAAAGCTGGCACATATACTGCAACAGGTAACCAGAGAACCTTCAATTTAAGAAATTTATCACTAATTAGGCGCACTATTTAAAAGGAAAACGAATAGCTGACCAACTCACCATTCCAACAATGAATAGGACAGATCCGAAATAGCGTACACCGCGACCAAATCGCATTTCAAAGTACTAATAGATAGATAAACAATATTAGGCTAGAATCGAAAGTATGTGAGTATAGATTTAAGAGTTTAAAATTTTTAAAAACACAATGATGTATGTAAGTATGTATATAAGTATTTAACAAATACACTTCTTAGAAACAAGTTTCCAAAGTATTTTAGTGTGTACCAATGCATATATATGTACATATACATGTATCTATACTTACAAATAGCCATGTACTTATGAAAAATTAATCACACTTTTTATAAGAACAATTAGTGTATACTATATTTCTTAATCCTACTTTCAATACAACACAGAAATCGCTTTAACATTTCTAGTTCGTAAGACAATCATTAGTTTTCAAGGCGTTTACAGGAATCTATAAATTCGGTTGCCGCACCTTCAGATAACCAGAGCTGCTTAGAATTTTTCCGACAAAGGGTGAGAAAAGCTCAATATTCATATTCCTAGGATCATTATGTCCTAAAAAGGGTGTCAGCAAGCCAGCAAATATCACCGTTAAGAAAGTACCTACCGCAACATAGAGCATAAATGTCATATGGTAGATATACTGCAAAGGCTTCTTGGGGCTGAAAAAAATATATATATATTTTAACATCAATAAGTGTCCTTAAGAGTTAAAAGCACTTGCCTGTTTTCAATTGACTTTATAGGTGTTGTGAAGTTTTCGAAAAAATATTTACAACCATAAGTGCTAACAGGTTTTTCGTCGTAATGTATCTCTCCTTCGGAAATTGCTAACTGCGCCCGGATGCAGATCCAAGCAACAACACATGTTGACGCAATGCCTCCTGCCAATGCACTCTGCAGATGTAAAGAGAGCGCCTATCAAATAAAAACAATTGGTTTATGACAAAAAACACTACTAACGGGTGATTTTTTTGAGGTTAGGATTTTCATGCATTAGTATTTG